TGCATAGGAGATGATAATGAGCGATTGCTTTTCTCTGTGTTCAAGGCAACGATTTCATCAGCTCCATAGAAGTATCTGTCAGCTAGCCAGTTATGAGTTATGGTCACAGCTGTTGTACCATGGCCAGGAATATGGGAGGAGTCACCTTATTTTGTGATTGTAAATTGCTCTAAACTGTTTTCAGCATTGTGTTTTAACAAGGCAGGCATTCTTGTTGTATATTTGTAAATTCATATTAGAAAAATACACAAAGGTTGCTTCCAGACAACTTGTTTATTGAGCATTCATCCTGATTTGTTTGCAGGGAGATTAAGACAACGTTGGCTATTTAATAAGCATAAGGTTAGATGACGTTGCGTAAAGCGAGTGTTACTCCACACCTTCCAGTGCAGTCCCCCTTTACTTTCCTTATCACAAAAAGTCTGATCTTTTGTGAAAGTAGCTTTGTTGCTCAAGACAGCGTGGTCAACTACAATTGCATAAACTAGATTTGCCAGTTTGTGACTGGGCCCTCCTGCAAAACAGCAACTGTCTGGAAGTGGCCTCTCCATCAGAAGGAAGTTGGATCTGAGAAACACTGCCCCTGGCACTTTTCATCATTTAGGGAAGTAAGGAGTAATGCACAGTCGTCTTTTTCTGAGCTGTAATTCTCAAATCACTTGCCACTTTTGACTAGAATACTGTTTCCTCTCTAATGCAGAACGGTTATTTGGTAATTATAATGGTTCCATCTTTTTTTATAACTGAATTGTGCTGTTGCCACCACCCTGGGACCTCATGGTGAAGGGTGGGTAAGAAATATAAATGGAATAAAATAAATAATAAAAATCAAGGGTAATTTAATTTAAAAATTAACATCTCTTAAATGTGCATGAGCTCTCTGAACCCAGTAATCCACTGTCTTGAGTATCAAATGGATGTGGGATCTGTCCATCTAAGGTGTGGGTTCCGAAAAAGGAATCTAGTGCCAGTTATGTGATCCAGTCTGAAACTGACATCCAGTTCTTTTTGTTGTCCACTCTGTTTGGTATAGTTCCTTTTAAAGGTTTTGTTTTATTTCACAATGTTTACTTGAAGATTAATATCCCATTTCTTTCATTTATTCTTTTGGGGTGGGAACTGCTGTTGCTTAGAGAGCCAGTAAGTATGCAGTCTGCCTCTGTATAATCTAAAAGCAAATCTGTAACAAATAATCTGCATCCCCTATCCGGAAAATTAATTTCCATATTAAGTTTGGAGCTTGCAACGCACTGAAGTGGAAAGTAAAGAATGATGCACAAGATTTTTGACAGAACACTGCCTCCCAGTTTTATTGGTTTAATTTTTCCTAATGACTAAAACTGACACATTTCCCAGCACCACCAGAAGGTATTTAGTGAAATTACAGAGCTCTAATCGACATTAATACACATGTCAGTTTGTTAGCATATAAACTGAGTGAGTCCTGGAATTAAATTGTGAAGCTGGTGATCTGAGAGATAAAACTTTTGTTCCCCATCCCACGCTGTAAGGTTCTGTCAGCTATAGTGTAAATTTGAAATATCCTTGCTGAGGACAGTTTTGCAGATGTCGCTACAAGATTTTGGCTGAATGTGCATGTCACGCTTAACCATGTTCAGGGCGATGTGCAGGAGTGGGCTACAATGAGACCCCGAATTGTGTATTCCCTTCTCCTATGCCCGCATCACCCAGAAGAGTTCAGAAGCTCCTAAGCCTACTTTTGGTTAGCAGTGGTTAGTTACGTCATCTGAAGTGGCAATCTGGTTAATATTAACCATGGTTAGCATGAAACAAGCCAACTTCATGGTTTCTAGAGCTGGCTTATTTGAACTAACCATGGTAAACAATAATTACTGTTCTGGGCTTGGATGACAGGAGAAGCTGTGGTTAACTAAATGGAAAGGAAATCTTCTGAACTCTTATGGGTTGCATGGAAGGAAGGGATGGGACTGAGAGAGCGGACAAACCCAGTTCACTGTGTCTCATTCCTGTTTGTGCACACCTTGCTAAAACCATGCTGTGTGGCACAGCCAAAGAAGATAAATGAGATCAGCATTGGGAGAATTACCGGTAGATCAAAGTAATTTCCACATCAGCCTAGCTCCTCTACCAAGTGAATGAAATCCTGAGAGAGCAATCCTCACAAGTTAATTCTGATTTGATGGCTGAAGTAGAGCAGGACAATCAAAACAATAACAAAATGTAAGACTGCTAGTTAATCTTTAACATTTGGCATGTAAAGTATCTCTTAGCTATTCATGAACGCTGTGTACATGAATCAGAAGTGAGATGGGCCCTTCCCCAGAGGTCTTGCAATTTGCATTAGGTTGGTCAGGATCAGTAAGAGACAAAAAGAGTTCAGGAGAGTTATCTAGCAATAAAATGGTATTGGAGCATTGTTGCTTTAACATCTATTGATTGCCACAAATCAGATGTATGTGGCAAATGGTAAATGTGGCTAGGTTTTATCTTCCTGCCTTTCAGTAGACGGAAATGGTTCGTTTTGCTGAATTTGTCAATACTACCACACATTGTTAATGACTAAGAACGTGTTTTGTTTTAATTAGAAGTTTCTTATACTGTGCATCAAGAAATATTAAGACGTTTTATAACAATTAAGCAATAATAAATCAAACAATACAACAACAGCACTTAAAAAACCAAAAACCCTGAGTAATTGACCATATGTTTATGAGATACTGATAACACCCTTCCTTCTGTTTTTTCAAATCTTAAAAATACCTCTTTTCTTTCCGCTGAAACCTCCCAGATCCATCAGATTCCCCCCCCCCCACTTCGCATGACTTTTCTTTTATACAGCCACTCTTCAAAAAATAACACACGATGCAGCCAAAGCTAATCATTTTATGCTCCATGGAATTCAAGGAAGATAATTAAAGATGGGGGGGTCATCCAATGAAGCTGAATGGTGGGGGGGGGCATAGGACAGGTAAGAGGAAGTACAGTGCATTGTAAAACTATGGAATTTGGGGGTTGTTTTGAGGGGGGGGTTGTAGCTGGGGGGCTTTCCGTATCTTTATTTTAGATCTTGTGCTTTATGAGGAAATTGTTCAGTTTGTGTATTTTTTTAATGTTTTATTTATTGTTTATGTCTACTTTTGTTATGTTGTAGTTAGGCATTTTTTCTCCCATATTGTAAGCCGCCTTGAGCATGGTTTGAACTGTGGAAAGGCAACATGTAAATACAGTGGTGCCTCGCAAGACGAAAAGAATCCGTTCCACGAGTCTCTTCGTCTTGCGGTTTTTTCGTCTTGCGAAGCAAGCCCATTAGCGGATTAGCGGATTAGCGCTATTAGCGGATTAGCGGATCAGCTGATAAGAGGCTTAGCGGATCAGCTGATAAGCGGCTTAGCGGATCAGCTGATAAGCGGCTTAGCGGATCAGCTGATAAGCGGCTTAGCGGATCAGCTGTTAAGCGGCTTAGCGGATCAGCTGATAAGCAGCTTAGCAATCAGCTGTTAAGCGGCTTAGCTGTTTAGCGGCTTAGCGGATCAGCTGTTAAGCGGCTTAGCGGCTTGGGAAAAAGGGGGGGAGGAAAAAAACCCTGCAGGAACTCGCAAGACATTTTCGTCTTGCGAAGCAAGCCCATAGGAAATTCGTTTTGCGAAGCACCTCCAAAACGGAAAACCCTTTCGTCTAGCGGGTTTTCCGTCTTGCGAGGCATTCGTCTTGTGGGGCACCACTGTAAAATTATGCATTATATATAAAATTTGCTGCCACATTGTGATGGCTACCCAATTGGGTGGCTTTAAAATGGGCAGCAACAACAGCGGCAAGAATTATATTAGCACAAGCTTGGAAGACAGAAGAAATACCAACGAAAGAACAATGGCAAGGGAAACTTACGGAATATGCAGAACTGGCAAAATTAACAGATAAATTACATGAAAAGGATAACAAAGATTTTAAAAGAGAATGGGAACCATTTACAACATATATGAAGAGACAACATAAAGAATTGGACTCACTGGCAGGCTTTGAACAAACGAACACAATTGTATATAACAAAAAGTAAGACTATATGTATTGGGAAATTTTTGGGAAACATGGGGAGAGTAATATGGAAATAAAACAAAATGGGAATTATGAGGGAAGTCCAGGGGAGGGAGGGGGGGAATATGGAAAATTGTTAGAGAACTGTTAGAGGATGTATACAAGGAAAAACCAAAAAAAATTTTTTTTAAATAAAATGGGATTAGGCAAATCCATGAAGGGTCATCATCAAATAGCTAGTAGCCAAGACGGCTGTATATTAATTCCGGTGCCAGAGGAACATGCTTCCGAATGATAAGTCTATGGAGCAGCACTGCTATTGTTCTCATGACTTCCTGGGTAGCCTCTGTTTGGCCACTGCACTAAACACAATGCTGATCTGGATGGGTGTGAAGTTTGATCCAGCAGGGATCTCCTGGTAGGTGTGCCGAAAAATAACAATACCAATTCTGAGACACAAAGTACAAATGTGGTTATTCCCAAACTTTTCCACTAGAGGGTAGTCATTCCACATTAATTATACCAGAAAGTAAATATACGTTCTGAACTTCCAAATCTCTTGCAACTGCTCCCAAACCTATAGTCCGTAAAACCTCATCAGGTGCACATTAAATATCCATGCTGATTTTTATTGCAGCTTATTGAGTCTTTCATTTCTTATAAGAAACATTGGGATGTGGGTGGCAATGTGGTCTAAACCACTGAGCCTCTTGGGCTTGCGGATCAGAAGGTTGGCGGTTCGAATCCCCACAACGAAGTGAGCTCCCGTTGCTCTGTCCCAGCTCCTACCTACCTAGCAGTTTGAAAGCACGCCAGTGCAAGTAGATAAATAGGTATCGCTGTGGCGGGAAGGTAAACAGTGTTTCCGTGCGCTCTGTTTTCCATCACGGTGTTCCGTTGCACCAGAAGCAGTTTAGTCATGCTGGTCACATGACCCGGAAAGCTGTCTGTGGACAAACGCCGGTTCCCTCGGCCTGAAACCGAGATGAGCGTCGCAACCCCATAGCTGCCTTTGACCGTCCAGGGGTCCTTTACCTTTAAAGAAATAAAAGGTGTGATGAAAAATACAATGAAAAATCATATAGTATCTAGCACAGAGCAATACAATTGCCACAATTGGTAGGGGGAAAATAATTAAGTGGGCCATCACAAACATCAGCAGTTTTATGTGGGGATATTCCAAACTTGATCTATTCCATTGGTCTTGGTGGAAGGCCCCTCCCCATGTGCCATTTTAGGCAATCGTGGCTGGTGTTCTTTGGGATTTGTAGGACAGAAGACAGGGAACTTGGCAGTAGCTGGAGCCAGAGTGAATGACAGGGAGGGTCAATAAATACTTGTTTTGTCACCATCCTTGTCAGGAACAAGCTGGCAGGATTTATAGTTTAAATTTCTTTGTATACAGCCCTGAAATCCATTTTTTTGGTTGAGTGGTTAGTAAAATAAATGGATAGTAAAAGTGTTACCAGTTACCTGTCTTCCTTGCATGCATATACCAGCAGGGCTACTACAGTGATGTTTAAGATGCATTTTGAGCCACTGTGCAATTAATTAGCTAGCTCCTAGATGTCGCTGTTCTACACACTTGGAAGAAACACTTCCTCAGCTGTGATCAGCTCTATTATTTTCTTGGTTTAATTTCCCCTGCTCCCCCGCCCCCAAACACACACACAGGATAGAAATGGAATTATCTATTATTTACACACCACGAGCTTTTTAAAGAGTTTGGAGAGAAATATCCAATTAGTTTGCACAATGTCAGCCCAGCAGTTCCCAAAAGACTGCAATCTACGGTTTTCCTCTTCTTTTTTCTGGGATGTGGTTAGATCCTTATTCACATTGGGGGCCGGGGAAATTCATTCAAAATTAATCTTCACCAGGAGAAGACAGTGGCAGAGAATCATCACCTCATGGCAATTTTTCCTGTTTGGGGGACAAAGGGGAAAGGAAAGATGAAGTACTATTGAGCAAACCAGTTTTATGGGGCTTGGCCAACTTTTTCGCCATTCTAATGGACAATACCAGTGATCTTCAACTTGCCCAGGCCAGACACCCACCATGCCTGGAATATGGGACCCACTTTCACATATCCACTTTTGATTTCTTCATAATAGCACTAACAAGGCACATTATTCATCCTAAAATGAAAATTCAGAGAGTTCATAGTGTTACCTTAGCACTGCTACTAAATGTGGGGTCTTTTTGTTTTTAAAGATCCAAGTGTCCCTATTTTCCAGGAATAGTCCTAGATTTACAGAAGCCGTCCCTGCTTCTGATTTGACCCCAGAATTTCCTGCTTTTCCTTAGGACATCTGCGAAATGTTGGAGGGTATGGTTATGCAACACCTGAGCCAACCTTTAGAAGACATTTGAGGGCAGCCCAGTATAATGAAGGTTTTTAAAAATGTTTTACGATGTTTTTATATACAGTCATACCTTGGTTGTCGAATGGAATCCATTCTGGAAGCCCGTTTGACTTCCAAAAACCAAGGCACGGCTTCAGATTGGCTGCAGGAGCTTCCTGCAGCCAATTGAAAGCCGCGTCAGACATTCGGGTTCCAAAGAACGTATGCAAACCGGAACTCTCACTTCCAGGTTTGTGGCGTTCGGTAGCCAAAACATTTGAGTCGCAAGGCATTGGGGATCCAAGGTATGACTGTATGTTGGAAGGTGCCCAGAATGGCTAGGGCAACCCAGTCAGATGGGTGGGGTATATATAAAATAATATAATAATAATAATAATAATAATAATAATAATAATAATAATAAATAGGACATCCCTATTTTCATTGGAGAAATGTTGGAGGCCTTGCTGCACACATATTGAGCATGTGTAAATGGCTGTTGCCTGTATTTATTGCTAAATGTAAATTTTAAAATTAGAAAGTGCCTTGAGGACCCATATAGCAATGGAGACGAGGATAAATTTGACCTGGACAAAGGTTCCCCACTGCCACCCATATATTCCCAGCTGGCAAAATCACCCGACGGCTTTAGCATCGTGTGGGCTTGGCTGTAGAGAGATGACATGCCATTAATATAAATGATACACTCAGCAACCTGTATGTAGAGTTCAATGCCAACCGTTTCCCTTTATGTTTCCATGCAGGTGAGCATACAGGGCTTAAATAGCTGATGACAGTGCCATCTGCAAAAGGCTAACGGCACGCTTATTAATCAGTACGAGCTGCTATTTAATCAGGCGTGTGTGCAATGAATTATTCAGCGGTGACCGGCATATCTTTAATACATATTAAGAGAAGCAAAACCGCACATCTGGTACAACAAAGAGATGTGGAGAAACTGGCATTTTCAAGTTTTCCTAAGCGGATGAGCCTGATTAGACAAGGCATTAATTGTGTGTGCACTTAACACCCACCGAATTTGAGTCATACGTTCAAAGGCCAGGTAATTGTCCTAGAAGAGCTTGTTCCGGCAAAGTTTGATTGTAGAGTTAAAGGTATTGAAGGAATCAAAATGATACAATGTGAAGTTTGGGTGGTGGGGAGCAGCAGAGTGAAATCTCGTTTCTAAAATTGCCACCACACTCCTGCACTCATGTTTCCACCTCAGAAATTCGCCCTTGAACCCTGGTTTCGCAGTTTGAGGGTGTGGATTGCGTCCAATGTTATTCATTCCCCAGAGTAGACCTGTTGAAATTAATGGACACAAGCATTGCTTCTTTGGTTTAAAAAAATGAGGTGCCAGTATTCATACCCTGAGAAAAGTGCCGAGGGGGCCAGCACAAAATGGCTGCCACAGGGAGCAAAAAAAGAGGTGATAGTATTCTGTACTGATGAATACCAACCATGACAAAAAAGCATCAAACATGACTAACAGAGGTCCATTAATACTTTGAGCAGAACGTATTTGGATACAAAACCCTATGTTTCACAAAGAGAAACATTCCCTATCTTCTTAGGAATGTTGGAAGGTATGAAACAACAGGGGGGAAATGTAATTTTGTGTGTGTGAGAGGTTTTTCTATAGGCCAGAGCTGGCTCCAACATTAGGTAAAATGAGTTGGCTGCCTCAGGCAGATGATTTTGGATGTTGCGAAAGGGAAACATATATACTTTTTCCTGCCAGGGAGGGGGAGAGCACTTGAGTGGTCTTTGGCTTTGACCAGCGGTGAATGCTACCCACCTTGACTTGTGGGTGGGCATCATTAGCTACTTGGTCTCAGGAAACAAAATGTCCTGGGACAGTCCTGAGTGGAGCTTGAATGTCTGTTCCCGGCACAATTAAATGCAGGGCCGGCTCTACCATTAGGCAGATCCAACCCACTGGCTGTTCCTCCAAAGTCCCCAGCCAAGCACCTCTGTTGCAGACTAGAGTTGTGCACGTCACACGGCCTGCTCTGCAACCCTTAAATGTGCCTGCCATCTTCAGGTTTCCTGGAGGATGTTGTGCTACCTTCCTGTTAGCGGATTTGTAGTAAAATTCAGTTGTAAATTCAGTGCAGGAAGCTCAAGTCTGAGGAACTCCTGGCTAAGTGAGATTGCACAGACACCCTCCTTACTAATCTTCAGGTGTGTGACTAATAATTTCTTGCTCATTTTAAGGCAATCTTTTTGTTTTGTGATATTGTTTTGCCATTTCATTTTCTGTGTGGTTTGGTTTTCTGTACAACACATGGAAATGTCCATGATTAAGTAGTATAAAAATGTCTTAACTGCCAGTACAATTGACTTCTGTACATGAATTTGAGGTGTGTGTGTGTGTGTTCTCTTCTCCTTAGTCTCAGGCAGCAAAATGCCTTGGGCCAGCCCGGTCTATCATTCTGCAACTCTAAGGTTTGCTGTTAGCTATTACAGCAGGCTTCCTCAACCTTGGCCGTCCAGATGTTTTTGGCCTACAACTCCCATGATCCCCAGCTAGCAGGACCAGTGGTCAGGGATGATGGGAATTGTAGTCTCAAAACATCTGGAGGGCCGAGGTTGAGGAAGCCTGTATTACAGTATATCAAAGTGCTGCCCTCTTGAGGCTGAATGATTTTGTTTTCAGGGACCAAGATCAGATCTCTAGAGCAGTAGTGTTCAAACTTCCTACATTGAGGGAACCCATGTACACATCAACTCATCTACCAAGGGACCCTTGACTATATGTCACAGAACCTCTGCTCATTCAGAGAATATTCTAGCATGTAGTTCCCAAATTCCCCCCTCCATTGACTCGAGATTGCCAAGGGCCATAGAATCATAGAATTGTAGAGTTGGGACCCTGAGGACCACTGCAATGCAGGACTACTGGGATCGAAACCGCAACCTTGGCATTATCAGCACCACGCTCTAACCAAACACGGATGACCACTTAATGATTTTTCTGCCTATTTGGTTGCTGTTTAGTTGTGCCCGACTCTTCGTGACCCCATGGACCAGAGCACGCCAGGCACTCCTGTCTTCCACTGCCTCTCACAGTTTGGTCAAACTCATGCTGTTGCTTCGAGAACACTGTCCAACCATCTCGTCCTTTGTTGTCCCCTTCTCCTTGTGTCCTCAATCTTTCTGCCTATTACTGTATAGCGATTGCAATGCACCATGCTAGATGGTTTAAAACTGCAAAAAAAATTATTGCTGCTTTTATTTGTTACATGCTGTATTTTATTGTATTCCAAATAATTCAAATCTTAATGCAATAAAATGCAGTGTTAATAAATAACGGCAGCAATTAAAATACAGTTAAAAATCAATATTAACTAAGCTGATGGATGTCCCATATTGTCTTCACCACAAATCTACGGACATGTTGCAAACCACCTAAATGAAGATTGGCCCATGGACCGCAATTTGGGAAAATCTGTTCTAGTGTGCACATTCTGTTCGGAGCACTGGCCAAACCTTTTTGGTCTCACTGCCACCGCAAAGGTACTGGGAGTTCATCCTAAAAAGGATTGGTCATATTTGTGATCCACTTTTCTGATGTTATGAAACAGACTCCATAGAGTTCTTGGCTCATCTCACACTTACGCACTGAACAGCTCTAGGTTGCTACTTCATGTCTTCACACCATACCCTTTGAAGGGGGAGATCGGTAGTTAAGGGCAATCTTGTCTTTTTCCGAAATCTTAGAAAGTAATACAAAGCACATTAAAAATCATATTAAAGGTCTCTCACAAACAGTAGTGAATATATTAAGTTTGTAAATAATAACACAACGCTGATCGCTTTGGGAACATGCCCCAAGTTAGCAATTAAGCTTCTAGTCTACTGCTGTTTTAATAAAAGTTTTAGATGCTTGATAGAAATATTTTTGACTTCCAGGTAAAATTTAATGAAACATACACGTTTGTTAGTCCACCAAAAATGCGGGGGCAGATGAGGTGAGGGTTTTCTTTCTAAAACACAGCTTCGAGAAAGGCGCTGTCACTAATAAACTTGTGTGTTTATTTGACATACTGAAATGGGAAAATTTAAGGGTTTGGTTGTCTAAAGACTCCTTTTTTAAGAATCGTTTTAATTTAGAGTTCAAATGGACAACAATATGCTCATTTATTTCACCTTCCAAAAGGGCTCCGTTCCCAAGTTACCTTGGCGCTGGCTGCTACCCAAGTAGTAAAAGGGAAAGATAAAGGATCCCTAGGTGGTTAAATCCAATTGAATTTGACTATGGGGTGTGGCACTCATCTCTGCTTTCAGGCCGAGGGAGCCTGTCTCGTTATAAGAATTTAAGGTCTCGGATATATAAATTAAATGTTCATAAATGTACCAGGCAAACACATACATAAATATATAAACCACATGTCTGAAACAGTACAGGAAATCAGTCCTGAAACCATATTGACTCTCCCAAATTGACCTCAAATGTTTCTCTGCAAGGAGGAAGGAAATGGGAAAACCTCCTCATTGTCTCTTTGCTCACAAATCCTGTCTTAAGGGCGTATCTCTGTATGAATAGGGTGAGCCTGTGACCTGGATTCAGGAACTGAGTATTTACCATCACAAAAGAATGGCCAGACTGCCTAAGTAATGCAATCAGTGACCATTATCAGATCCTGGCAGACAGAATTTCTGCTGTAGACCGCCCTTTCAGTAATGTATGTATGATGTATTGGGGGGTGGTCTTGGGCTACAGGGTGGGCAATTTCAAAAGGCTATATAAGAGCTTGCACATCAATGTTCTGGGTTCTTTCTCCCTCCTGCATGTGATGAGTGAGCGCCTTGTTGCAAGATCAGGCTTGCTAGCTGCTATGCTTCTCAATATTCTCTGGTTGGCCTGTTATTTTCTCCTACCAATAGGGAACCCACTTAAGGATGCTATACAGGCTCTTGGATACCCCATAAGGGGGAAAGGGAAGATTTTGTTTACAGCAGCCTGCAGACAGCTTTTCTGGGTCATGTGGCCAGCATGACTAAACCACTTCTGGTGCAATGGGACATCACGTTGGACACAGAAATGCTGTTTACCTTCCCACCGCAGCAGTACCTATTTATCTACTCATGGTGGTTTGCTTTCAAACTGCTAGGTTGGCAGGAGCTGGGACAAAGCATCGGGAGCTCACCCCATCACACCGATCTGAACTGCTGACCTTACCCAAGTATTCCTAATGGTCGCAATGGGTCTGACAGAGTCTCATAATAATTAGGTATTGATAAACAGCTTTGAGTAGAATATGGTCTTAACTCAAGAGGTGGGGAACCAGAGACCCTTCAAATGCCCGTCATTCCCAGCCAGCATTTCCCTCTACTGCATGTGCAGTGACCACCTTCTTGACCACTGGACCCACATTGATCTCACCCCCTCAATGTGCCAGAGCCTATCTTCACATGCAGAAAATATCCCTAACTCACTGAAGTTTTGAGACTGACCAGCTCCAATTTGCAGATGCAAATTTGCTGTTAGCAAAGTGGTAAGCACATGCTTTTACATGTAGACAGTCCCAACGTCAATCTTCAGCTTCTCTATTAAGAAGGGTCAGGCTACAGGAAAGAACCCTCTCTGCCTGATCCCCTGGAAAGCTGCTAAATAGAACAATATTGGGCAAAATTGGCAAATATGGCGACCCGATGCATGGATATAGCCAGGATTTTTGTTAGGGGGGCAGGCCTTTTTTAAAGGGGGGACAGAACCTGTTTCCTATGTATTTGTATTGAATTTTATTGATGGGGGGCAGCTGCTCCCGTCGCCCCCCCTACACCCATGGCCTGATGCTAGGAATTTTCCTTGGCTCCTAACACATGGTATGCATGCAAATATGCCCCCCCCCGAGAGAAAATGCACCTATAGAAAGAGGGGTTGGGGAAATGGGCACTGCATTTATGCTATGGAAAAACAGGCAATGCAGTTCCCAGAACAAAAAAGGTGTTGACACGCAGATTAATTGCAAAAGCACTGAAAACTGCTGTGATGCATAGTTGATGGATGCTGTTGCTTTGTCAGTTAAGAAAACCTAATTTTCCAAGAATACAGATGCTTATCAGAGAAGTAGTCAAGAGACTCGCTTGAGAATGGGCCAAGAAAGTAAAAGGGAAATTGTTTCCTTGCCTCCATGGTGCAGAGTTGAAAAAATAACTGCGTACATGTGTGTGTGTGTGTGGTTATATCAAGGGTTTAAAATATCTTCTGTTTTTATTGAGCCACATGAATTATGCTCCCAAACAAAGAGATCCTTATGATTTTAACACTGGCACATTTGCTGTATAAAGCAAGGTAAGAAAGCAAGATAAACCCGCTGCAGGAGCAGGTTGTTAGCAGCAAATGTGAGCACGCTTAACGTGGACACGCCAGTAAAATTAGAACCAGTGGTGGCCTAGCTCACATACATTATTCTTCTGCCCTTATTCCTCAAGACTTCTTCATGAGGCCCAAACTAGGGATGAAGCAAAACCTGCTTCCATTTTCTGCTTCGTCATCCCTATTTGCTCCCATACCAGATTGTTATTTTACTCTTTACACTAGACAGAGCCTTTTAAAAACAGGGCACAACTGCCCCGCCCCAAACCCCTGAGAATATCAGTCTGAGGAAAATCCATCATTCTTTGTTCACCTTTCAACAAACATATCCATATTTGTTATGCACGTGGATGTGTGTGTGTGTATCTATCTCACCTGTCTTCCAACCTAAGGTATAAAATATAAAATTATTCAGATTTATACTACACACGCATGTCAGACACACATTTTAATTGAGCTTTACCTCAAGGAAGGTGGGTGGAGGGGAGGGGGGGAAACCTCTTTACTTTTGTTTCCTAGTCAGCCCAACTCCGGCCTGCTCAATCTAGTTTCCTAAGGAAGGTTTCAAAACGCAACCAGCATCGCAATCCCTGCACATTGCAGCCTTTTCGCAGGTCCCTTTTTCCCTTCACCTCAGGAGCCTCGCCTTTTCTTCTTTGCCTGTAATTAAAACATGCCAGGGGAGGGGAATGGCTTTTAACTCCTTTCTCCACAAGAGGGAACCCCTGATTTCTAAAGTGGGGGGGTGGGAGAGAAGCTTCTAGAGACGAACCACCAATAAAGGGGAAAATAAATAAATCCCTTCCTTCTCTGCCCCCTCGCCTCCGTTTTCTTCACACTCTGGTGACAAGTTTTACATTGAATCCACAGGGGAGATCTCTTCCACCCACCCACCTACCCAACCCCAGCCATCCCTCCATCCCTTTTTCCAAGCCACAGAGGCACCCCCACCCCCACCTATCCCCCTCCTAGTCCTTGCAAGAGCCTCGCGCGCGCTCTCCCCCTCTGCCTGCCTCGCCTGCCATTATGTGCAACCATCTTTTTTAAAGCCAGGCCTCTCTCGCTCTCGCTCTCTCTCCTCTCTGCAGGCTCCTCTTGGCAAAGGAGAGAGAGCAGTGAGCTCTTAAACATGTCTGCCTGAAAGCACCCCTTGCAGGAACAGCCCCTCCCCGGGTGGCAGCACACTGGCCTCTTGCCCAAGGCTACCAGCAGCAGCAGGTCTGTTTGCATGGGGGTGTGAGCAGTTTGCATGCGGTGCGGGGAGAGCCGGGGAGAGAGAGACAGAGAGAGAAAAAGGAGAGAGGCGGTGGTTTTTTTTTTTTTTTTGGGTGGCGATGATGATGATGATGGTGCTGATTTCCCTTCCTTGCCTCTTTTCTTTCCCACCCTGGTGGGGCCTCTGCCTGATGCACCTCCCACGGGAGAACCCTTAAAAAAAATAAATACACAGGACAAGCTATTTTAACACCCCCTCCCTCCCTCCCTCCCTCCTGGATATTTGCAAGAGCTTGCAAGGGAAGGAAAATCCAAAAGCAGCAAACGCTTGGTTCCTCTCCGGAGCAGCCGGAGCGTCTACGCGGCATGGAAAGGAGGAACCGTCCTGGCCGGGTGGTGGTGGTGGAGAAGAGAGGCGAAGCTGCAGAGCATTTGCAGCAGCCGCGCGGGAGAAGCTAGGGAAGGAAGCCGGGGCTTGCCAGGCAGGAAGGCCGCTGGAGCCTTTCTGCAGCCCGGGAGCAAGGCGCCTGCTGCTGCTGCAGCCGCCGGAGATTAGGCCTCTGCCGCGCGCTGCAGACCCGGGAGAAGGGATTGCTGCCGGGGGCATCTTCATCGCCAAGCCATGGGAGGGAGGCCTTCTGGCTAAATTTCAAACGCCGTTGTGTGCTTTTTAAAAATAAATAAAGCGTGTGTGCTTAAACAGCCCCCCCTTTAAAGTGCTTTCTTTGCAGCCGGATATGGGGCCAAGCGATTTTCCTGGGGAGGGCCTTTCTTTGTGTGTCTCTTAACGTTAAATGCATTAGGAGGCCATGTCTGCTCCCTCCCCCCCGGCCCCATGCACACAGCCCGTAAGTGGGTATTTCTTGCGTGCGGAAAGAACCCGCAGGAGACTGCAGCACAATGGCCTCTTCCATGTATACCTTCTGGGCCTCTTTTGTTTTCCCAAAACTGGCGCAGCCTCCTGCTCTCGCCCGCGGCGCCCTTCCTGGGCCTCTTGGTGCAGTGCAGGCCTGCGCGCTTTTACTCAGGATTTCTGCAGTGGCGCTTACTCCCAGGTAATGGGTGCGTAACTTTCGCAGCCCCAATGAGAGTGGAGCTGGATTGAAAAGACCCAAAGGCCAGGAATCGTTGTCTTGCTGTCAGGTGGGGCCACTGGGTGAGGTCGCTCACACCTTGAAGGCATCCTTTAGTAAATAGGAACAAGAAAGGTTGCTATGTTGGTCCATAAAGGCAAGGAGGAGTGGGGAGGTGCAGATCCACAGTTGAGCAATGTTTGGGTTGGATCCAACCCAAAAGTGTGCCACCCAATGAAGTTAATTCCCAGCTATGGATTTTGGAGTTCTTGGTAAACATGATTTTCTTGAAGCAAGGGGTAGTAAATCTTACTGAATGTTGCACCACTATGGGAGTAGCGAACACTATATTACTTGTGCTTGCTTCGGATGGGGGTGGGTTTTCAGTGTCCCTGTGCTGCCAAGATAACAAAAGGGCCTCACTTCTGTAGAGAGCATAGGACTATTGGTTACCTGCTTTATACTAGGCTAGACTTATTTGTCCGTCTAGACCTGCCCAGTCTGCTCTCCAGCAAAAGCCTTTCACATCACCTGCTACCTAAACTGGAGATGCCAGGGACCTTCTGCATGCAAAATGTGTGGTTTGCTACTGAGCTGTGGTCCTGCACCTAGGAACAATGGCGAGGGACTTTTGAGCGAGGGGTGGTGGCATGTGACAGAGTATGGAAGGAGATGAGGAAGCGTGTGGTAGAGAAAATGTGGGTAGGACCCACGTTGTTGAGAAGAAAGTGGGGGTGGGTGATAGTGAGATGGTATCAGGAGGATCCTAGCATGATCAGGTCTTCCGGTGGTTGGGCAATGCAGAATTCCATATCTTCCCAGTATGGAAGCAGCCAAGCTGTTATAGTATGAAACAGAAATAGGAGGGAGATAAGATAATGAAGCTGTAATTGTGTCAGGATGGTGGAGACTCCTGTATTTGTTTGCAAACCAAGTCAATGGTAGTTGCTCTGTTCTAGGGTTGGCAATAAGCTATTAAGAAAATTTGAGCCTTCTGCCCTGTCATGGATGGGGCACCAGTGACCCACCAGATGATGTCGGATTCCAAGATCATCATCCCTGCTTGTTGACCATACTGGCTGGGAATGATGGGAAATGGAGTCCCAACAGCTCAGCTTCCCCATCCCAGATTGAATGAAATGGCCTAATCCTTTAAAAAGCCTATGCAAATACAAACACAAACAAAGAAACTGGTAAAAATGGTTTTGAATTACCCTCATGGGTAATTCAGATGTTGTTGGTTTCCCATCTGCCCCAGTCAGAAGGACCAGTAGCAATGGATGATGGGAGATGTAGTCCTGCAGCACCTGGAGGAAATGATCGAATTTGCCCCCCTAAGGTTGTTAAAGGCAGAGGTTGGAGCCTGCGTCCAGGGAACGTGTGGAAAACCATGGTTTGGTGTTGCACTTTATACCACAGCATCCCTCATTGGTACATTAGGGTGAATGGGGCGCTGCCTCCACCAACCTGAATCAGCTCTCAAGCCAGCCCACTCCTGCCTACCTGCCTGTTATGATTTCTCCTCCTTAGTCTCACTGTTGACCTTGTAGACCTCAACGGGCAGGAGGATGAAGGCAGAACTAGAATAAGTTGGGTCTCTCTGCCTTCGGCTCCCTGCCTTCCACCCCGCCAACCCCAGTGGACTCCAGCATCCATTTGCAAAGGATAGACAGCTCTTCATGAGGATGGAGATGTTGGTAGGTGAGGGAAAGGCCTTGTTCTTCAATCACCTTCTAGTGGGGGGGAACCCTGTCTCCACAAGGCCAGGGTTTTAGATATGTGTTGCTGTAACCATCAGGGTGGGTTGAACAGACCCACAATAAGCAGTGTTGGACCAGGGCAGAGGATTCCTTTCAGCTTCCCCAAACATTGCAAGGACGGGTTGGTTTCGGAGTCAGGAAACCTTGCTTTGAAGATGCCCTGGTGAGGAGGGCAGTAAGAGAAGCGATGGCTCTCATTAGAAGCATCTTATTCTCTTGGGGAGCTGCGATTTGGGGGAGGGGGGGGACTCTGCTTGGCAGCAGCCACCCTCTTGCTCCTCTGTCCGAGAATCCTTTGTGCAGCAAAAGGAGATCCTGTGGGGATTTCTTTTTATTTTTATTGCGGTCTCTCTTTTGTTAGCTACAGACACACACACAGCTTTTCGGCCAGGTTTCTGGGGGAGGTAAGTTGTGGAGGAAGACGAAAAGAGGAGGCTGGGTGTGTGTGTGATGCTGTTGTGGTCTTGTGTGCTTGTGTAGGGGGGGGGGAAGGGGGTCTGCGATTGAAAACAGGAGGGCACCCAGGGCAGAAATTGCCCTTGCACCAAGGAGGAAAACAACCCGAGTCCCTCTGATTTTCAGGGACTTGTTGGCAACTCAGCGAGGGTTGCCATAGCTTTTTATGTAGGGTGACCAGAACCGGCTGAAACTGGTTTGAGGCAGATCAGCTCCTGAACACAATGCAGTCATTGAGCTACTACAGTGGGAGAGCTTCCTCTCTCCATGGCAGCCAAAAGCAGAGGATCTTGCAGAAAGATACCATCCCATAACAATATGTGAATGCACACTTTAGACACACAGCACTGGTATGTGGCTACTGTAATAGTCATAAAGGATTCTGTGTATCTGTGTACATATTTTCAGTAACTGAGATTACTTTTGGCTGGTTCATGCCTTTTTTTTATCTCCTTTTTTTTTTGGTTTGCTTTTGCTGAAGTAATGGGCAAGAACTGAGATTTATCACCCTTTTCGTAAAGGAGAAAAAAATGGTTTGCTTTGCTAGGTGGCACACTTGGATATGTAGGTGTTGGGTTGTGGTGCTTTTGTTTTTTCCAGCTGCACAAAATAATAAAAAAATGGATTGAAAGATTTGTATTTCTGTGCTTGTGAGTCAGGATTGCTGCTTTTGCATGCTGTTTTGTATTTACAGTGTGCTGCTGTCGTTTCTTTTCAGGAAAGAAAATAGCATTATTAAGTCTATATGTCTCTCTGTGTGTTGTGTCACTGTTAAAGGCCAAGAGGAACCCTGTGTGTTGTTGTAGAATTGCTCATGAAAGCATTTTCAAAAGAGGCTTAAAAGGCATTCTCTCTTCTTTTTCTCCTTGCAGGCCTATTGATTGGGGCTGCCTTTAACCCTTTCAGGTTTGCAGTGGCTATGCATCTGTGGTTGCATAGCTGATCATTGGCATTAAAAAAACCCAAAACAAAAATCTTGTCACAGGCCAAGGTACACAAGGTGAGCTATGGTATTATTTGACTATGATCACAATGGCATTGAGGAACATGTATGCAGAGCCTGAATGCAGTTTTGTGGTTGCACACCCAGGCACCTTGGTGGAAAAAAGCAGTGGTCTAAATTGGGCGAAGAAACGCAATTAAATTTGTCCAGATTTAATAGGATTAAAGCTATGGTTTATATTGATAGCCAGGCTAACAGTACTGCATTTGTTTGGTGTACAGTACCTTAAAGGCAGGAATTCTCTTTCCTCTGCTGATTCATAAAAGAACAGGCCCCTGTATGACAATCATAAATCATGGACCACATGGTAGAGGGCTGTTTTGCATTACTGGCCCATTGAACTTTTATAATTTTCCATCTAATCATCAAAAAAGTGATGATTTCTTATATCCTTCCTCTTTCGGCCAAACTAAATAACCTTGTCCCTTTTCCTTCTCTCTCGTTTTTTTTTTTTTTTGAGAGGTAAGGGAAAGGAGTTTTTGAGGCAGACATTGAGTGTGTGTACAAATGCCAGATAAATAAGCTATGCATTTTGCTTACTAAATTGTATTGTAAATGGAGGCTTTTGCAGTCCAACAGAGAGGATGCTTTTTTAAAAGGTTTTGTGTAGAACTCCAGTGGATTACTAGTAGCATGAATTACAATACTCGAGAATTAATTACATACAAATAGGAAACCGGATGGACAGTGCATCAGCTGGTAAGGAATGTCTCCTCCTGACTCAAAGCTTCAGAGCATTAGATAATGGATAAGATTTGTTTTCCTTCCTTAAAAAATGAATGTGTGCTTGGATTAGAGCAGGCATTTTGCATCTTCTGCTGAAGCTGGGAGACTCAAGAGAAAGGGAGCGGGGGGGGGGGAGGTAGGAGAAAGCAATAATGAATGTGGCAAAAGGAAGAACAAAGGCTCTCAGAGATTATATTGGCGCACTAAACATTTCTTTGCCTTTGGGGGTTCTGTGGCTAGAAAACTCTGACTTCCTAAAACAGGAAACCGTCAGGAACGCTGGAATTTTTACGTGCATTATGATGTTTCTGAAAATCCAGCCTGCCCTAGGTGGCAGCTGGTATTATAAATCTGCAGTCATGGGAAAAAAAGAAAAAGGGGGGGGGGATATGTGCGGAGAGAAGGAACCCAAATAAAGATGGAGGATAAACAGTAGGATGAAAAAAATTGTCCTGATCTAGTTTGAAATTTAGGTTGTCCATTGTATTCAAGCGGAATAAAGTAGACAATCTTAAAAGCCTTGGGAGTATTTTGATTGGGTAAGTTCCATGGAGGCTGGAGACAGGCAAGGTTGGCTGCATTTAGAGGGTGACACAAGCATTAAGGAACCTCTTTATTTCCTGATTGTGCAGCAGATGACATAAGGTATTTAAGGAATAAATTGCAGTGTATTGAAAGTTGCATGTGGTCTCTTAAAGCCTGCAGACATTTGATATGGAGGTGTTTTTTTTATAAAAAAAAAAACCCCACCAGGTATACTGTTTTGTGCGTCTCAGATCTGACAGGGCATTAAATAGCTTGCATGGCTGGGGGTGGGGAGAGGGACAACTGTGCTGTGATTCCATTTTTGTGCGTTGAATTTAATGTCAATATACAGTGGTTCGGTGGTTGGGCTGTAGATAATGCTGTTTTAGGCAGCACCAGCCCATGTAACATAATGGGGAGAATATGGATGGCTAGTCTGCATTTGGGTCTTTCTCCTCCCTAGGGTCAGCTGAGATCCCTGGGGTTACATGAGATCACCTTTCTGCTTTGTA